TATATATGATTTTGTTCCACTAGTGCAGCTCTTAAATAAGTACTGAAATGTAGGCACAATTAATTCACAATAAGCCCTTTCCCAAGACTACAAATACAAAATGAATGTTGTTGCATTCATCTATAACAAAATTTAGAAACTGTTGGTGTATTGCAGTAAAAAAGGACGTTTGTAACACTTATATCGAAGGACAAAGAAAATGAGTACTCCATTTACAATTTTTAAAAGTGTAATGACATGCTCTAAGAAGAAAATGAGAAGGAGAAAGTATTTGTTAAAATAAAAGATAAAATCCAATATCCTTATGTTGGGGTTGTTTTTAAAGCAGGACTTGAAGACTGTATGGGAACAAACAAAAAATTGTCTCATTATAATAATTAAAAAGGGATATTTTCCTCATTTCCATATCTCATCATATTTCTATGCCATTTCCACAGGCATTCTTATCTCTTTTCAAGTGGAATGCATTGGTTTATGCTGCAGGCAAACCTTCAAGAGATTTCTAAATCTGAGATGTGACTTAGATATTAAAGAAAATGATTAAAGGCATAAAGCCATTATATAACACAGTGTACTCTTGGAATGAGCAGTTTAACTTTACCTGACTGGGCTGCTGCTAGCATCTAAATCCTGTGCCGTCACCGCGCCGATGATGGTGCCTGCAGGTGTGTCCTCGTACACATCCATCACATAGGAGGGCTTATTGAACACCGGGGGCTCATCCACATCCAAAACGTTAATCTTCACTGTTGCAGTGTCTTTGAAGGCCCCAAAGCTCTGAAAGCGTGGATCCAAATGAGCATTCGCAGCTTCTACCTTGAAGGTGTATGCCTTCTTGGTTTCATAGTCCAGGGGCTACAAAAAGAAAAATATGAAATAGTTACAAAAACAAAGTTAATTTTAAAACTATTGTTGACAATATGTGAAGTATGCAAGTACACGTTGTCCAATTTTCACTTTGTGTAGTGTTCTGTACAACACGGAAGGTTTAATTTTGAAAGTGCTATGTCGTTATTGCATGCCAGTGAAGAAAAAAAAGGGTGGTATTGTTTTTGCTTTTGTCTATGTGTGTGTGTGTGTGTGTGTGGGTGTGTGTGTGTGTTTTTGTCTTGTTAGGAAAATATCTCCTGAACCATTAAATTTCTTTCAATAAAACCTGAGAAAAAAACAATTTTATGTAAACCTACAATTGATTATCTTTTTGAGACAAGATGGCTCCCACAACCGACTGACCATAGGAAACATTAAAACGGCTATGAATCAAGCAGTTGTACAGATATTGATCTTCAATATGGTGTGGTAGTGCCTGAGACTATTCACAAGATAGACTCCAGAAAATACACTTTCATTACATTTTACATTACTTATTTTCTTAAAGTGATAACACTGTAAGCAAATAAATAAATAAATAAATAAATAAATAAATAAATAAATAAATAAAAAAACAGCTTCTGCAAGTCTTTTGTTTTCTTGGAAATTAAATATTCATAATAAAACAACTGCTGGGCATGCAACAGGTTTTTCTTTTTTGCCACTTTCGAATAACGCAAGTGACTTGTCTTAGGGGGAAAACCCATCTAAATCAATCTGCCTCACTA